TATATATATATATGCTATGTACGTAAAAACGTTAGGAAATATTTAGTTAAAACAAATTACGCTTAAAGAAATGTTTCGAACGGTACCGTTCATACATATGGCTCTTTTACGCATACGTGGGAGACAATAACACAGTCAACTTACCACGCTCCGTGAATGTTGAAGCATGTATATTTCTATATAGAACGTATATTTCTGTGATATGCTGAAATATTTCAGTGTAGTATCAAACGACTTGGTACACCCGAAATAATGATCTCCTAATAGTAGAAAAATTTCTATATGTACACTCGCGTAGTCAAAGTATAACGGTCGTACGGCCATGATACACGTAGAGTCTATGTGGCCAGCTGGAACAATACAAGCTAATAACAACAGATACTGCAGTTTGATCCTAGCCAAACACAAAAAATACACTATATCTTTAGTGGCCTTTACGTGGCCGTTTGTGTTTTTGCCCGCCTTTTACTATTGTGCTTAATCGCTATACATGGACGCTATATCCAGCAATTGTTCTTCGATAAGGCAGACTTGAAACAAAGCCGTGATATATACCATTGTGTCATCTTGTACGTAGTTCTTGCGTATATAGTCTCTTCTCGTACGTACCCTGTTTAACGCATTATTATAATTCTTTTGTAGGTATGCTAAAACGTATGATTTCAGCTGTTCGTCTTTCTTCTCGAGATGACTGAATATGCCCTTATTATTTTTGCAATATGCCTTTATGTCCTGTGAATGCTAGTATGGCACGAAATTTTACTAACGAGGGACCAGCTAGCGATTTGGCATTACTAGCCAAGCAATGGGTCAGATTTAACCGTTACTTTCATGACAGCGGATGACTATGCCTGCTGCTAGCAGAAGAACAGTTAGCTCATCCCAGTGGGAGAATAGTATACAGATATCGCTAATGGATTGACTGGTTTATAAATATAGAATTGAAACAGCCGGATAGCTACAACCGGATTTATGGCATTAATACCGTAGAATCTCAAATAAATTGCTACTAGATGGCTGTAGGGATCTAAATCTACAATGGTTTGTATTTAACTGGATGCAGCGATGATCAAATCAGTTTATATTAAAACAAGCTGCTAAAATAACTGCCAAAGAATAGCGGATTCGGTAGACAGGATAGTTGCGTAATTTTCTAAGGTCAAAAACTACGATATGCTAAGTTGCTACTTAACGTAGTCCGTGTACGAATCAACAGACCGATGCAAGTGAATCATATGAAACATTTACATACACAAATAGAAACACTACTATATATGTACATGTTTTTTTTTCGTACGAAGAAGATATATCTACGTCTTTTAGAAAAAATTTACAACGCAGTTAAGCCCGTACGACTTTCGTTCTGCAAACAAATGGCGCAGATCTGAATCGAAAGGACAACAATTTTTAGGTTAATTGTTTTTTTATAAAAAGAAAAAAAAATCACAGACGTATGGAAACGACAAAGTGAAGTGTTCATTGTAAAAATAGTTAGCCCATCACATGAAATCTTGAACGAGCCTATATTGATATATGTCTATGATTCGAACACCATTTGATCTCAAGCGTTCTCCTCACACTGCAGGTATCCATATTTTACTTTAAAATACGGGTGACCTCAATGTTTGCTTTCGTGCCGACACAAACAAACGATGTGCAAGCAAAACAATTGACGTACCTTTCCTGTACGCTTGCGGTTCGAGTCACCTCCACCTATTTACGACTATATACACGGATGATCTGCGTGTTTATCCTCAGTGGCGATGGAGCAACCCACGAACGAACCCGGCCAATCGGAAAACGAAGTCGGGTCAATCAGCCAGTGAACTAGCTCATTCATAAAACCCATCATAACCTCCAATATGTATACGCGTGTGCTATGTGCATCACTGGTATTCATTACACCCAAGAGGCTAGTTGAATTATTGACTTAGCCTTGAGCTACAAGGGTGTATGACCTCGCAAAACACGTATATGTAAATGTATTATTTAATTTACGCGCCCTCTGTCGCTGAGGGTACGGTTCACTGCTTCTCCCCCCCCGCCTCCCGCCCAATACACACAGACACCACCGCCATGCTGGCCTTAACGTAAGTCACAAAGAATTTCGGAAGTTTGAAGGCATTTCTCACAACAGCAAATAAGGCAAACGTTCTGTCTAGTCGCCTAGGTTTTCCATTCGCTATAGCCGAAACTGAAATCGAGCGAACTACAAGAGGCCTGTCAATCGAATGCCCCTCATCCCTACGAATGCGGAACCATTTCGCTTCGATCAAATCCTGCAAGCAGATTTCTAAAAATAAATCTAAGAGCCCTAATGGCATTTGCTCGTGGGTTTCATGTACCCTGTTCGCATTCGGGCTGGATATGTTCGCTGATTTCCCTCTAATCTGCCTAACCTCACTAGTGTTTGCAGTGCGTAGGAGTGGGCCGTTGGTCCCTCTATTTCCTATTGACCCCTTTTTTCCACTTACTTTTGAGCGCTGTGGCCTACGCTTTCAGCTAACTTTCTCATGTCCTCATTGTGGGGTTTTCTAGTGCAGGAAGAAAAAGCGATGACATACCCGTCAGCCCACATCAAAGGCACGGAACCGTTTTCACGCATATTTCGGGCGAAGCGGCTCTGGATTGCTGCAATAGACAGAGCGATTGTTGGGAACATTG